ATAAAATAAAACATGGATACAGAAAACCACACCAAAGAAATACACAGGTTATGAGTCATCGCAGCCACCCCCTGTAGCCGCAGCCACCCCCTGTAGCCACACCCACCCCCGCTGCCACCACGCTGGCCGCACAGATGTGCTGCGTCGCTGCAGTTCTGCCACTTCGGAATGTTGGCCGAAGGGAGCCAGACAGGGCGGAACCTGAGACTGGCTTCTTTCTCTCGCACAGTGCCCTTGAACCCGTCCAAGCTGTCGCGGGTTTCGGTAGTCAGTCCCCTCTCCCTGCTGAGTGGTGGTCCCTGGGGTGGCCCCATCAGTTTATTCAGCCACCCAGCGGTGGTGGTTTTCTTTTAAGCACCAGCTACTTGCATTCTGATGGCTGGATCAATTCTCTCGCCTCTCGGTGCAGCCTTCGGGGGACTCAGTCACCCTCTCTGAGAGCACAGCCATCGTCTCCCACGGCACCACCGGCCTGGTCACGTGGGACGCCGCCCTCTACCTCGCGGAATGGGCCATAGAGAACCCAGCAGCCTTCACTGACAGGTGACGTTGGGCACAGGGCAGGGCACCAAGGCGGGTTTGCCCTGGCTCAGTGGTGGACATGGGTCCCCCTTCCTCCCTCCCAGGACTGTCCTGGAGCTCGGCAGTGGAGCTGGCCTCACGGGCCTGGCCATCTGCAAGACGTGCCATCCCAGAGCCTACGTCTTCAGTGACTGTCACAGCCGTGTCCTCGAGCAGCTCCGAGGGAACATCCTTCTCAACGGCTTATCGTTAGAGCCAGACATCACTGCCAACCCGGAGAGCCCCAGGGTAGCAGTGGCCCATCTGGACTGGGACGTTGCAACGGTCCCTCAGCTCTCCGCCTTCCACCCAGACGTCGTAATCGCAGCAGGTAACGCCCAGCCCGGGCAGGTAGCTTCCTTGCAGCTCCGCCCAGCTCTCGGCTCCGGGGGAAAAGGAACAGTGGATGCTTTCAGGCGGGGAAATGATGGGGCTTCCGGAAGAGTCACTCTGGGCCTCCAGGGGACATCAGAGCATCAGGGCGTGCCTGTGAAGATGACCCTAAAACCACAGCCCTCTTGTTGGTTCCAGACATGATGGTTCCACCCAGTAAACGAGCCCTGGCTTTTCCCAGCAAGGCAGGAGAGGAACAGAACAGGCCCCGGCGCGCCAGCCCAGTCTGCCCCGTTAGCCAGGCCACGGCTGAGTAGACGCACTCCATCTCCCTCCCCAGCAGCCTGCGGGAGCGTCCCAGTCCCTCCCAGGACCAAACGGAGCAGCCAGAGCAGCCCGCCGAGGAAGCGAGCCAGACCGGCCCCACCCCCACCGCCCCCTGAGATGCGGGTGTTTCACCCCCACGTGTCCGGCAGGGCTGCCCCACCCTCGGCAGGTCTTCACATGTGGGACGGAAATGGCCATGGCAGCACTTGACTTCTCCAGGGCCACAAAGGACAGCACAGTTCTCTTAGGACTGCCTGATTCCTGCGCGTGTCACCAGCACCCCGTCCTGGGCAGGCCTCAGGTGGGACTGCAGCGGCCAGGCTGTCAGGGAGTAAGAGTGTCCCCCACCTCCATCAGTGCTGGCTCCTTGCACAGCTCTGCTGCCTCGGTGTCGTCACTGTGTGTCCCTGTGGCCCTGGCTGTCTGCGCCCCAGGTCCATGCCCCACATCCTTCAGACACCAGAAGGAGGGACCCAACCACTTCTGGTACAAGGACGGGTCCTTGAGAGAGGGCGGTTTGGCTGAGCCACCAAAGGCCCCTTGTCCCCTGCTGAGCTCACTCGGTCCCCTTGCTGGCCTAGCAGTGCTCTGCCCTGTCGGGGCCCAGCCCTGAAACCCACAGGCCCCACGGCGGGGACACAGCCCTGCCCCTGCCAGCCCTCTGACAAATCAGCAGAGGCTGGAAACACAAAGTCCAAGGCAGAGAGGCAGCTTCTGCTCCATTCCTCGTCTTCAAAATAGGCCAAGAGCCGAAGAGTTGATTTTTTTTTAGAGGAACTCCAGTGAGTGGGGATATTTTTTCATTTGTTGCAGTGTCTTTTAGCAGCTTTCTCCTTCCCAAGGGTTTTCGTTTTCCACCCGAGTAATTTCCTTTCCCTCTAATAGCCCAAATCTAATGTAACTGCGGCTTCCAGACCTCGTCCTGCTGAGGTCAGCACGACCCGATCCCTCCGTGTGGTCCCTTTTAGTAACCTGAGGCTGTTCCCCGTAGATGTGCTGTACTGCCCAGAAACCATCCTGTCGCTGGTCAGGGTCCTGCGGAGGCTCTCTGCCTGCCGGAGGGGCCAGCGGGCTCCTGATGTCTACGTTGCCTTCACCGTCCGCAACCCAGAGACGTGCCGGCTGTTCACCACTGAGCTAGGTGAGCCCCCGCGCCCAGGAGCTATCTCCGAGAGGCCACCCAGGCTTGCAGGGCCACCGAGCTGTCCCCACAGGGCTCCAGGAAAAGAATGGGTCCTGGGGAAAAGCTAGTAAGCCCCACACCCCAAAGAAGTGTCTTGGGAACTTGCAGAGACGGGACGGCGAGTGGGGCGGGGCCACAGGGCAAGAGGGAGGCAGCTTGGTACAGTGACTGCAGTGACGGGTGTGAGACCTGCAGCCCTGCTGTGTGTGTCAGCAGGTTTCCTAAGCCCTTCAGCCTCGGTTTCCTTATCTGCAAAATAGAGGCGGGTGTCAGGGTGCCGGTCGGTGTCAGGCCCACCTGGCCATCCCACCAGCCACCCTCGTGGAGCTGGGCCGTCACTCACCTCCCCACGCCTCAGTGTCCTTCCTCACCTGCAGCCAGAGACACGCACCCCAGAGGGAAGCCCGTACACACCCGGACAGTGCCGAGCACGCGGGGCCTCTCAGGAACGGGGCAGCCACTGTTACAGGCACTCAGTAAGTGGAAGAGCAAGGTGATCTTAGAGAAGGGGTAGGCGGCCCACCCGCACACAGCCACCTGCTGTCCTCAGACCTGACACATGTCAGCCCCCAGCACCTGCGAGGGGTGTGCCGTCATCATCCCATCTCACGCACAAAGACACTGGGGCACAGGAAGGCCGAGCAGCCCCCAGGCTCCCAGGGGCCGCAGTCAGGCTGCCCAACCCACCCCGGACCACCTGCCTGCAACCCCCGGGGCACAGCAGGCCTGGCCAGGGCTTTCCATGTGCAACCTGCCGGCGGTGCAGAACCCTGTCTCTGCCCCAGCTCCCCGGGCACAGCCCCTCCTGGCAGCTGCCTGCATAGACAGACAGACGACCCAGATGCCCACTTGTGGCGGCAAGTTAACTACAGATCAAACGAGCAAGTGAGCGAACGAACACTCTCGATGCTCCGCTCACAGAGCGCTGTACGGCCTTTCGTAGAACGTCTGCAATGTCTTTTAAGTGAAAAAAGCAAAGTACCAGATACATATAAGCTTTTTTTTTTTTTAAAAGACAGAGTCTCACTGTCCCCCATAAGCCCATTCTTGTTTTAAAATAATAATTAGCTCGGCACAATGGCTCACACCTGTAATCCCAACTGCTCAAGAGGCTGAGGTGAGAGGATCACTTGAGCCCAGGAGTTCAAGGCCAACCTGGGCACCATGGCAAGACCCTGTCTCTAAAGGAAAAAACGTTTTAATTATAAGAACCATCTTCACATGAGTACACCTACAGGGGGAAATCGAGAATACATGCCAATTAACAGTTGTTACGCTGGGATGGTGGGATCGTAGAGACTTCTACACTTCTATGTCTGTACTGATTCATTTTCACAAGTACTAATTTTTCATTCATACCAAAAAACTGATTTAAAAAATCATCCCAGCTAGTGGCTCTTGAGACAGCTGTGCTTACGAGGAGGGCACAAGCCCCTGGAAGTTTTGTGAAGAGCAGGCCTGCGGGGCAGGGGCAGGCTGGGGCGTGAGGAAGGCCGGCTGCAGTCACTGCTGTGCAGACCACCTTGGCGGGGGCCCAGGCCTGCCCTAGGGGCGCCACAGAGAAGCCCAGGTCCTGCCCCAAATGCCCCATCCTGAGACGCATGTGCTGTTTCCAGGCCGGGTCGGGATCCGATGGGAAGTGGCACCTCCTCACCGCCAGCAGCTGTTTCCTTACGAAGAGCGCTCAGAGATGGCGATTCTGCAGCTCGTACTGTAGGCCCTGCGCAGGCTCCTGAAGGGTATTGTGAAAATTAAATCACTATCGTGAGAATTTTTGTGGGAAAGCAGATAAAACTTTCATTGGGGCTAGGTGCAGTGGCTCATGCCTGTCATCTTAGCACTTTGGGAGGCCAAGGTGGGAGGATCGCTTGAGACCAGGAGTTTGAGACCAGCCTGGGCACCACAGTGAGACCCTATCACTACAAAAAACGGGAAAATGTGCCAGGTGTGGTGCCGCTCGCCTGCAGTCCCAGCTACTCAGGAGGCTGAGCCCGGGAGCTGGGGGCTGCAGGGAGCAACAGTCGCGCCACTGTACTCCAGCCGAGTGACCGAGACCCCATCTCAAAAAAAACATAAACAAAAAGATTTCATTGGACTTGAATGTTTGAAGAATGTTAAATCACAGACCACAAACAGTTCCAATAAAACTGTTGACATGTGTGGGTGCCCCTTTCTGTCAGCAGTCCCAGTTCTTAAGGAAATCACCATAAATCAGAAACGAAAATTTCGGCTCAAAGGCAAGCATTTCCTCTGTGCAGATAACATGTATATCAAGTATGGCGTCCCCCAGCCTGGACACTGAGTTCCCTGTGAAGCCGAGCCCAACGCAGGCGTGACACACCGCGCTGCACCTACAGCGCCGCGGGGGCCGTTTCCAGGGCAGGAACACGACAGGCAGAGCGGGGAAGGGCAGACGCCGGGGACAGCAGCACAGAGGATGGATGTTGAGTGTCCCATGAGTAAGAGAAACATAACCCACAGGAGAGAAGCACAGAACAGGAGAGAAAAAGAGGCCGCGCCTCGGAGCCCGCAAGGAAGCCAGCACGGACCGCGGCTTCCCAGGACACCACTCCTGGCCGTTAGAGCTTTATTCACGTTTCAGCCTCTGACCACCAGGCGGCGCTGCTCGGGGAGGTCTACCCTGGGACTCGGCTGGTGGGGGAGAAGGGCCCAGGGGATCCTGGGTTTTAGTCTCTGGCCCCGGGGGTCACGTGTCCATAAGCAAAGGGAGCACAGTCCGCGTCCAGCTCTCATCCCACCGAAGCTGCTCTGACTCCCGGAGGTTCTTCCGGAACTGGCTGAGTTTGCCAGCAGGATCGGGAAACTTTGAGAAAAGCATCTATAAAAGATCAAATACAAGAACTTAGCTCATTGTTCCTCCCCACCCCAGCCCAGGAGACCGCCTAACTGACCCCAGGTCCCCGAGCCAGCAACGCCCCTCCAACATGCCCACTCCCTCACTGGGCACCCACGGCCTCTCACACCCTGGCAATGCTCCATCTCCTGCTTGACAGCGAGTTTTCTGGAAACGTCCCTGCACGTCCTGCTCTCCCGCACTCCATGCCCTGGAGCACCTCCTGGCCTGTGTTCCTTCCCCCAGGAGCACCTCCTCCCAGCCTCTGGCCTGCACGGCCCCACCCGTCTGCTGGGATGTCTGTGTTCTTTCCAGCCTTGCCGAACTGTCTAAATCAGGGATCGGCACTCTACAGCCTGCAGGCCAAACCCAGCCGGCCACCCATCTTTGTAAACCAAGTTTTACTGGAACACAGCCATGCCCTTTCTTCAACAGGTGGTCTGTGGCTGCTTTCACGCTATAGCAGAGTCGAGTAGTTCTGACGCGACTGTATAATAAAACCTAAAAGATCTTCTACCTGGACCTTTATGGAAAAAGTCTGCCAGTATTTCAGTTGTCAAGAATGATGATGTAGGCCGGGCGC